AGGAGTGTTTTCCATCTGGTCGTATTTACCCATTTTATTAAAAGGTTGATCTGGCCAATGCGATAAGAACATTAATTGTTATCGCGTTTCGTTTAATTAGTTTCAAGATAAGCACGCGTTATCGCCGAAGTAAATATCAGGTTTGCAGTTTATTTTGAAGCTGGCGTTAGTCAAATTTGGATTGGATGTGGGTGAGCCGAAGGGGAGTTCAGCACACACTTACGCAGAGTAGAGACTTGACTTATTCCACCGGACCATTACTCTGTCTAAGTTTGTGCCGAAGTCACACTGGTTTTAAAACTATCAATTTTTGCGCGGTAGTTTAATAACAGCCCTATTTTCATGCCGAACAAATCGAAGATGTGCAAAAGTGACAAGTGACAGTCAAATCATCGAACCTAGACAGAGTAGAGATCCGACTTACCCCACCATACCTTTATTCTGCCTAGGTTTGTGTCGAACTCGCCTTTGGCTCGCTCCGCACTGGTTTCAAAACACTTTTGATTGGTAGTTTAATAATAGCCCTATTTTAATGCCGCACGAACCAAAGACATGCAAAAGTGACAATAATTTGTAATTCCGATTTTGTGTTCAATTTAAGGGGGGAAATGTGTAAATTACATCACGCAGAATAATGATGGACTACCCTGAATGTTAATAATTTCAAGTCTTTGAGTTAAATCTGGTGGGTCATTTTGAGCACGGAGTGCAATCGTTTTGTTTTGAATTACAATTTCTTTGTGAATTGTTGTAGATGCGTAATTTGTCGCTTTTATGATTATTAATTTAGTTAATATTAAGGAGTACTGGTCGTATTTGCGCATTTTATTAAAAGGTTAATCTGATCAATGAGATAAGAAAATTGGTTAATGATCAAGTAGGTGTGTGGTTAATCGAACCCAAAGTGCGACCCAGGTCGGAGTTTCCATGATAATTTTTTTACTTCCGGAATTATGTTCGGTTTTCTTAATCCCTTGGAGTATTGTTCAATGTGATCTGCTGAGATTCCTAAATTAATATAGCAGAGGTTGGACATGCCTTGAACAATTTGTTATAAAGTTTATTTAGTTGAGCTAGCTGGCTTAGTAACCTTTAGCCATTGCATACAGCAATTATAATACGACATGCAGGACCATAATAAATTCGAATATCCGAAGTCTGTACTATACTCAATCGGACAAAGATTAAGAATAATTGGAAGTTGGCAAGACGATTCTTCTAGATAACCGAATTGCCTTTGCTTTTCTTTTATACGTAAAGAGCATTCTGGCAAATACTGATAGATAAATGATTATAACGTCTTTATGATCATCCCGAATCTTAAAAGCAGGAATTGTTTCGCTTGCTTTTGTGATAGGTACTTCAGTTATCCGAATTGCACGACAAAACTGTTGAGAAGAGTTTTCCCTTGACTTACTTATAATTTTGGGCGTCTTGCAAATACTTCCGGCAGGAATAATTACTCACATACAAACACTTTAAATAAATAGTTGTTTTTACAGCGACCATACCTTTTTAATGCCGAATCTATCAAACCCAAGAAATAGTAGTCCACCTATAGGATATAAAATTTTTCTCGTGACATATAATAAATGAAATCTATTTTGTCATACGAAACCGATAAAATTGAGCTCAACGGGCAATTCACAAATAACCCTTACAAATAAAATCTCTCCGACTGTTTAGATGGTGTCTCTCCACTTGAAAAAACACTAGTGATTAATTTTTTGCCTTACTTATCCTCTCCGGCACCGTATTGAATAATTAAACCCGAATAATTACCTAATTTGGAAAGATTAAGTCGCATTGACAGTTTAAGCATAATTTATTCAAGGATCTTGTTTATTAGGCTACGAGGAGTAAGGTACCACGTAGCAATTGATTATAAGGGTCGCATCTGTGTGTCCTACACGCTCTACCTATTCCGTTTTTCACCCGTAAATGAAAATTGGCATTTGCCTTTCAAATTGGTAATCTTTTGAATCCGTTATTGTATGTTAGACGCATATTGTGCAAGCGAAAAAATCACGTTAATGGTTCAATATTGGTAAAACGGTTATGGCCGGGACCCCAATAATTAAATGTTATTAACTTCAAAGGGACCTTCATCTTATTGACTTTTTTCGTACACGCGTCACACAGACGTGTTGATAGGGGTAACGGCAGTTTAGAGTCTTCTTAATCATAATTAACTTACGAGTTATCTTACATTGAAAATTTGGATTACCTATTTTTCCGATTCTCTTTGATTAAACGAATTCGTCACTTGTAGGTAGTGTTTTTCTTCATGTGCGGTTCATGTCGGGATTATTGAATTTTGCACCTTAAAATGTAATAAGAGTATTATTTCTGGAAAGTGCACTCGACTCAATTCAATTTTCAGACCTTATTTCGCGTCTATATTCCATTTCCTTTCGCACCTTGTAAAAAATAGTATACACCGTATTGTCGATTAAAGGTACAATAAATGGGCTTATTTTACCAATTGCGCTACTATGCATTTAGCATCCTTTCAACTCAAGCCGTATATTACATTTGCTTCAAAGTACTTAATGTCGAAAATACAGCAAAATGCTATCAAGAAACGTTGTTTAGCGTTGAGTTATGCGAGACTTTTACCTTTTATTCATTAAACTAGCAATTTCTATGGAGCGTTTCGCCTTGATTCCAGCACCTGTTCGTTCAATACATCAATTTCGGTTACTTTAACGTAAGTCAAGGGAAATGTGTTATGTATTTAACATTTATTACAGAGGCCTCCTTTCGTATTAAATAAAACCCTTAATAAATTTATATGTCTAGAAGAAATTTCGGTCTTAATGAATCACTTTTTGAACCTAGCAAAACGCGTTAATTCCATCCTATATGCGTTATGACTACCGAGAAGAAAGTTAAAAAAAAACGCAAATTTTAGAACTTCTGGGGGCGTAGCAAACATTTTAAACTTTCAGTGCAGTTTTCAAGAATTACAGTTTGATTTTGATTGTGTAACGGGTAGTTACCAGGGCTGTAATGCCTGCTCGTGCCGACTTTTCAGCGCCCTTAAAGGAAAAGGTACTAATTTGCGTACAATCAAATAAAACTTTACCTTAGCTAAACGGCAAGAACAACAGCAAAATTCCCAGAGACGTTCAACTAGAATTACTGGCTACCCTACCTTGTTGATCGGGTTGGCGAGAAAATTGACAAAAAATCCTGGACCTCGATAAGTGAAGGCCGTTTTGATAAATAGCCGAAGAATTACCCCATTCGATTTATTTTTGTCCCTTCTCATTTTGAATATTACACGTAAGCGCGTTTAATATTGCATTATCGTTAATATTTTGCAAAAATTTCCAATTCTCATAGATTAAACTTTATGCACCTAAGGTCATATTGCAACGAGGGGTTACATTTTAGGGTGGCGCCCTTGCGGTTAGATGAAAATTTCCAATGGTTTCCCTTATAACAGTTTGGTCATATTTTTAGCGTCGTGATGTGGCTCGATTTATAAAATTCCTCTTACCAGTTTCTTTGTTTTCTTCTTTTATTGTAGTACGTTGGTACCCATTTTTTGTACTTTACTTTTCGGGCTCGCTTTCTTTCGAAAAACAGAAAACTGGGTTGGATAAACTGTTCAATAAGGCAAAGAAGAGCAAAACTATAGCTGATCGGGAGGCCTATAAGGTAAACCTAAGGCTACATAAGAAGGATATTAGGAGGCGTCACAGGGAGGCACGGATAGCTCTATAGAAGATGCCTACTTTCCCGAAGCCACCAAAGTGCAATACCACAACTGGTCAAAGGTAACCCTCTTCATTCCCACTCAACTTCCGTATCACCCAACCACTTGGGCAACTTCCAATCAGAGTTGGCAAGGATAGGTGCAAGAAAAGTTCTTATTATGTATAACATAAAGAATAAAACTATTAGAATCCCCAGTGACAGCAGAGCTACCCTGCAGGCACTTGGTCACTGACAAATTACCTCACTTGATTTCCAAATGTCACCACGAATTAGAGCAAGTAGCAAGCAGTAACACTCTCGAGTTTGAGGCTTAGATACGCGTGGACCCTGTCAACTCTCCTATCGCAATTCAGAATCCAGGCTAGCTCCGGTAAAAATGGGCTAAGAATAAGAAAGAGTGCAATACCAAATTGTACGCAATCAACTGTATATTGAAAAAATATCCTGTGACAGTACCCCCTCCTTGTTTTTGAGAAAACTGAACAGTTGAATAAAAAAAAACCGAATAAAATGAAAAATTCCAAATTATTTACAAAAACGCCAGTGAAAATAACAGGTTTGGTTAGATGACAGGCTGCTGTAAGTTTACTGTACTATTGAGTTTTTTCTGGTAATATGTATCTTTTCTCTTTTTCCAATATCTTAGGTTCTCATTCGTTTAATTGGGTCTTTTTCAAGTAGCTCTTTCTTAAAACTTCCCAATTTCCTTAACTTCTTCAATTATTCCTCTGGTTGACACTAACTCCTCTTCTAGTTGTTTGTTCAGATCGTACAGAGAGCTTGATCCCTTTTTGGGATTCGAAAACTGTTCTCTAAAGTAGCGATCCTTTTTTCATGTTTTGATAATTCAAGTTGGACTACTCTCCTCTGCCACATACCGACTTCCTACACTTGCTCTTCTACTCCCCCCCCCCCCCCCTTCTTTTAATTGAGGAGCTTTCGTGCAAAACCGGATAAATCCACTTGTACTAATTTTTCAGAAATGGCCATTTTGTTGTACCGGGTGAACAGTGAAAGTTAGAAACAAGGTTTTGCTTCGAAGTTGTGGGGTTCCTGATGGTAATAACATGTATAGTATGTAGTCATCAAACCCCAAGTATTTTAGGAGTTACTAAGAAAAACAATATGGATTTATCTGGTTTTGCTCGAAAAGTGCCCTATTTCCTGTTCATACATGAATAAAATGCTGCAATTGGCTTGCAAACCGAACCTTTATTAAAGATTATTAATTTGAAAAAACAAAATATAAGAGAGTAAAAATATAGTTACTGGATTAATAACAATAATAATTATTATATTATTAAATGTGTAGGGAATCCTCCTCTTCCAAACAGTCACACTGTTCATCAAGTTCGTGATGATCCTCCCGAAGATGACTGTTATCACTCTGATTTTCGGCTGTACACAAAATTTGTTGGTACCATTTCAAGTTTTCCTGACTCTCCCAGTTCTCCCCAAATTGCTCAGCCATAAGCTTCCGTAATGTTTTCTTCTTCTTGTCTGGAATAGAGCGGTGTAATTCCATATTGTTGAGTTGAAAACCTTGGTCAGATTTGTTTTTCTTAAGCAGACTCTGTTGTATTTCATTCGTGCTTTCAAATCGATAATGTTGATAGCAGGTAACAGTAACGTTGTTTCGATTGTTTTTTCGTGTTTTTTTGAAAACGATTCTTTTCAAATCAGATATTCCATCCACCTTTTTATAAAAAGTCTGTAATTCCTTAATATCCTTAATAAACCAGTCTTGTCCCAATATCTTAATGGCACCCACTTCTGCATACAGTTTGTGGTATCCCTGTTTTGTTTCAATGGTGGGATGTTTTCTCAGGAGCTTTTCCACCCTACCAAATGCTCTATCAGCCGGCATAAAGCTGTGCCCCCTAACCGGGAAGGTAAGATTTATTTGAGTAATATTTAGAGGAGATTCAAATTTCAACCAATACAATAACGTATGCACAATATGGCTATTCTTATTTTGTCCTCCGCATCCATCACAGAACAATCTTATAACTGTTTTGTTTGCTAAAGGTACCTCATTCAAGTGTGAAAGTAACGCAGATCCAATTTCTGTACAACCACGTGAAGCTAAGTCCTCAGTCCATAGGTAAAAGGTCGGGTTCTTCGAGTTCATCCCAACGCAACACAATGAATAAAAGCTGATTTGGTGTGAATAGAATGCATCGCTAATGGGTGTTCGGGGAAGCGGCTGAACCTGTTGAAGGTCAAAACAAAGGCTCACAGCATCTTCTGGTTTCTCCTTCATCATTTCGTAGAAACACTTCACTCTTTTGTTGTGGACACGATATTGTAAGCTAAGCTCACTCTTTTTCTTTGGATCATTTTCAATTTTTATCATATGCGTTAATCTTGTGCACTGACCACAACAATCTGATGCCGGAGATGAAAAGCCAATATTGAACTTGGTTAAAAATATCTTTCTAAACATTAAATATGACACTTTATACTGAGAATCAACAGACTCCGTGAACATTTTGTGCAGTCTAGCTATGCTTAAGTGAGCAGGTAAATAAATCCGTTTGGATTTTGCTCGGTTATAGTGACTTTCCTGCCCTTTAAGCTGTCCAATGAATTCTACAACTTTTTCTCGCTTGGTAGCACTTTTGGCCGATGTATGGTCACCACCACGGTTTTCTTTTGGTACCTCCCCTTGGCAAATTATTTTTGCGACATGCGAGATTCTGTGGTTTGTCAACCCAAGAGCATTCCGAAAAAATGTCTGACACACCCTAATACCCGTGTTTTCTCGTTTTAAAAAATACACTAAGTTAAGTGCACGATTCTTGGGCTCATTCTTGATGGATCTCTTTCTTGCAGTTGGAAGAACGGAAATCATGTGGCACAGTTTCATATCTTGCTGAACCTTGTCCTGCGTCTCGAAGAACTTCTTGCGAATCAGTTTTACGTCACAGTTGCGAACCTTTGTACAAAAGTATGTCTTTCCAGCATGTTTGCAGAGCCTCTTAAATTTTCTTAAATCCGGGTCTGGGTCTGAGTACCTAAAGTTTAAAAAAATGTTTGATCACATACAAAAGAATGGTTATCAGAAAACTACCTCTTTGCCTTTTCTTTTGCACGACTGGTTTGATGGTTCTTTTGCCGTATTCTACTACCCACATTTGCATCCTTTACAAGCACAAGGTTGTCCATCTCATCACATTCACTATAGAACTTTAAAGTACTAAAACAAACTGCTCGTCACGTTCGCGAGGTTAATGTACCCAAAGTAAAACACTCAGCTGAAGTAGCAAGCAAAAACGCGGCAATAGAGTGCAACAAAAATAATTACTTTACGACCGCCCACACCACCTGTGAAGTGAAGAGTGCACTAACGCAAATAGGAAACTGCAAAATGCTGTTGACATCATCTGAGTAGCAAACCCGACAAAATGATTTATTGGATTTATCCGGTTTTGCTCGAAAGAAATGGATTTATCCGGTTTTGTTGGAATAAAGTGGATTTAACCGAGTTTGTTTGAAAACATCAACTTTAAGGTACCTTTACTACTGGATTTATTCGTTTTAGCTTGAAAATGAGTGCACCATTGGAAAGCCGACACCAAAATTATATAGAAATGATGTCTAACTTATTTTTTTCCAAAAGTGGATTTATCCGGTTTTGCACGAAAGCTCCTCAATTATGGATTGATTAAATTTCTCTCTTTACTTGTAGGTCTTTAAATTCATTCACTTCAATTTTTGTCTTCTTTATTTTAATTTTCTTCGGTTATTGATCTTGCACAATTGTCACGTAATTCCAGTTAATTTCGTAATCTCCCACGACTTTCTGGTGCCGGAGGTCTTCACACGCAAATACACAGTCAGGACCGTATTCAGAAACCATTTTCCCAAAAATACAATCAAATGAAACAAAATGTACCCTATAAAGGTATTATCGATATTTTGCATAACCAAGTTCCAAAAAAGCGCGCAACCCCACAAAAAATCAATGTAAGATCTAAATTTAGAAAGAAAACACTCTTAAAACCGTTTCAACTACTAAAATTAAGGTATATTTTGGCCCACACTGTACTATACTATAGTGGGCCGTGTCTGACAGCGTCTTGAAAAGAATCTGACTCTTACGCCCACGAGCACGTGCTTGTTTTGCTTGTACGTAAATCCGGCCCCGATTAAGCTAATGATTACATCGGAGAGAAGATGCTGAAGGACCAAGTTTGTGCGTGCCACGGTTCATCAGCTGTCTGTGGTCTCAGTTAATTTAATTAATGATTTGTGTGTACGAAACTTATTTGGATATCTTGTCTCGAAGAAGAAAAGTGTAAGTAATTTTAAGCTTTAGTTGGTAGTTTATCATAAAATTGTACTCAACACTCATGCCCATTTGAACAGGACTGTAATGGTTGTTCTTCTTTTGATTGTCTTGTGTGCAAAATAAAAATTATACGTGCAATTTCAAGCAAGTTGTGTGTTAATTCGGACCCTTCAGTAACGACGACCAGAGGAGTTTCATGTTTAAATTAAGATTAATTTTAGTGGATTCTAGCCCAAAAGAAATTTAATCATTTTTATGTAGCGGGGTGAGAATCTGTACTGGAAAAAGTTATAATTCTGGAGATAAATAGGTGCAAAGCCTTTTGTGTATATGGTCCTTTTTAGCCTGGGATCAATGCACACAGCAATGTTTAAATTTTAAGTTCGTCAAATTTGAGTGTGAGAAACAAATGCAGATATTGCGTAATTTTCCATGGTTATAAAAAGGAGATTGTTCAATATTCAGGACGTGACCACGTATATCGTAGTAAACATTTTGGATATTGGATATTTGGTTGTAGAGGAAGGAATTGATTGGTTTAAATTTTAATATACGGCGGTATTTATTAAAAAGTAGACATAGGGATTTATGTGTATTGTTTTTCTTTGTTTACTTTTAAATGACAAAATCTCTTCTGAAGAGCGACTCATTTTATGCCACCAAAATAACTTCTTAAAACAAGTGAAGATCTGGCTGTCACATTAATTAATTTGAATATTGTTGTTTTGGCTTTCGTATTTTTGTTTTCGTTCGTCTAAGATGTGTTCCACTGAATGAAAAGTGGATATTGTCAATTGGTATAGTGCCGGTACCAGTTTAAGGAGCGTAAGAGATGTATTTTCTGTTAACCCAAAGCAACAATATTTAAAATATGACTACTGGATGTTTATTTGTGTTAAAAATTTATTTTGGATGCATTAGGCGCCCTTCAGATTTTGTCATTGAAAAGTAGACATAGGGAAAACAATAGATATATGTAAATCCCTATGTCTCCTTCTAAATAAATATTACTGTATGGTAAATATTTGGATTTTGTGTATTTATTTGTGTATCCAATACGCCATTAACTATGAATTAAACTCAAATGACAATGTTGTTCAACTTCATGGTTCCGTTCAGGAAAGAGTTCCACTTCAAAGCTTTAAAACATAACTTTTCATTGACTTACTTTTGCCGCTTTTTCCCCTTAAAAAATGTAGTTTGTTCAGAAATCTATCGAGAAAATAGATCGAAAACCCTAACGGAAAGCGAGTACCACTAAAGAACAGTAATTTTTGTGTGTGTGCCAGTGGTGTAACTTCATTTTAGAGGCCCGTCTTCAAAAATATTTGGGGGCTCTTTCCTTATATCACCAATTTTTAAATGATGTTAATCTGTATATGTAGAAAATAGTGTCTTAATTTAACTTGACTGATTTTGCATTTTGTGATTCAATGGTTCACAGGTCCATTGTAAAATTTAGCGTCACTGCTTTCTGTGTTCAGTCAGAGTCCAGTTGATTTTGTTCGAACTTTGATTGTCAATAAGCTTTGTGTAATATTTGGGCCACAACAAAAGGTAATAATGTACTTAATTTTTATTGTAACCCTTCGTTTTATTGTAACTTGTATTGACTTCAGCTATTTGTAACTCTTGAAATTGTTTGTTATTTAATTGTTTCACTTTAAATGTTATCCTTATTTTCTCATTTTTAATATTGGCGGAGTTCCTTCGATGTTTACACTCGTTTAGTTTGATTAGAGACTTTAATCCTCTGTGTATGAAACTTTTTTTTTAATGTCTTTAACTGTTTCGTTTGTGCAGAGGTTACCGTATCCAGGACATCCACACACCTTATGGATTGGAGAAGGTCCCGCTACTTAACAAAGCATTTTATTTACTTTGTAAGGGACTTCGGAATGTTATTTTTCACAAATGGGAAAGGAGTGGAATTGATTTGAAATCTTTTTGAGTTATTATTAAAGTTAGATTTAAATTATTTAAATTCAAGGGTTACTTCCTCAGATTGTTTATTTTTGTATATTGCAGATATTGCTCCAGATTTTTCACGTATGTGAATAATGATTCAGCTAGGTTTCTTCGGGCTGTATTTGTAAACTGTAAAAAAAGCAGGTGCATGGCCCTTCGTAAATAAAACAATTGGAAGGAACATTGAAGGAGTTCGAGAAATTTTCAATTTTTTTCAGAATTTTGTATGAACGTATTAAATTTTTTGTACATTTTTGCCGGAGCCAGTTCTCATTGCGTACCTTTGAGGCATTGTTGTTACGCCACTGGTGTGTGATTGACGGTAGAATAAAAATATGATGTGAAAGGATGCCTCGATTAGCTCCTTGCATTTGTTGTTAACAAGCTTCTAATGTTTTTCAGCATAAAAATTTCACTCAAATAAGTATAGCATTAAAGCTAATGGGTCGTGTAAAAGTTATGGAGTCGCGCGGTTACGAGACGAAGGTAATGTGCTGAAATATACGGTAACATGTCAATTTCATAACATTTATAAAAGAAACTGTGGAATGCTTAGCTTTAGCCGCAATCGAAACAATTTCTATTTGCGGTTTGATTAATTATTTCAACAACTGCTTCACACCTCCAGTAACAATGTGTATTGTGGTACCTAATACGTATCACATAAATAATTACACATTATAATTAGACTCCTATGTGAGCTAATTTGAGTTTATTTCATCGCGGTTTCTCTTGTAATAAGAGATTTCCGAAGATGAGAAAGTATTACACATCTTCCTTTCTAATTACCTACATAAAAGAATTAGTCGTAGTACACGGAGGTTACTACGGTAAATGGTTTTTTTACATTTCTAGTACAAATTCTATCAAGCAAAGTGTTTTCGTTCACAAATCAGAGAATAAAACCGCTATATAGACAAAATATGAGGTAATTAACTTGAATAACTTTTCGCCTTTTGCCAGGGAATTACTTTTCGAGGTTTAGAAACCGTACTCCTGTAAATTTGGTTATTAAATATGTGTTAACATGAACGTTTAATAATTACTTCATGCGAACACCATTTTTTTCCGAAAATTCTTTTACAATGAGCAAGTTATAGTGTTGGTTCACTATAACAGCTTACACAAACCCTTGTGTGGCAGGAACTTTTTGAACTCATTTAACGGTAGAACAATAGGGCATGAAAAATTCATACATTTATTGGAGCATAAAATATTATGGCATACAAAATTATTCTTTTAAAACTATCCTCATTTCGGTCTTGCGGAAATTTAGAATTGCTTTAATCGACTGGTTTTGCATGCTCGCAGTAACGAATTCGATATTACTAGTTTCGTCGCCATGAACACCGCCGTGCAGGATATTTATTTACCCCTGAAGTTATGCACTTTTCGTTTTCCGGAAAGAAAAAGTTCGTCTACGACTTCCACAATTTTCTGTTTGTATGACTTCAGTCTAGTCCGATTTTAGACATGTATCTAGGTTGCACAGTGCTAAATGCATCTTTAGATGGATAGCAAAATATAGAACGTGACAAGGAGACTATATTTAGATTTAATTCTATTCAATCATTAGGAATAATTTAATAGGTACCTCTCCTCTCCAATTAAATTTGTATAGAAGAAAGTTGTAATTTCGTTCGAATTTTATGAAAAATGTGCAGATAATTGCCTCAATTTTAAAGTGAGGTGCCTCTCTTATGAGAAGTATTGAAATAGGTTTTTATAAAACCAAATGTAAAAGCGAAGCGAACAATGAGTAGTATAACAAGCAATCCTGGTGGCGCCACAGTCGGTCACCTTGGTGGACGACTGGGGAACTAATTTGAAGGCAATCGGTGTCCTGTGAAAAAATAGTTGGTATCATTTGGAGGCAGTTATGAATTATTAGCCCCCCTTCCTCCCCCTCCCCTCAA